ATGTCCACCAATTATCAACAAAGCTCTATTCACCGTCCGTGTGTAATCATTTCAGTAACTCAAATGTCAAGCTAGAGTCAATGACAAAAACAGGAAAATAAAGGAAAGCTTTTACAACTATGAATGTCTTCAGGTAAATGTGTGACCAATATCATTTTTTATGGCCAATCCAGATACCCATGCGAGTCATAACATAAATCCAACAATTTAACAAATGCGGGGAAAATGGCTAAACTCAAGGGTATATTGTATTTAAAAAATTTGGAGGGGACAGTATTAAGCCCAGTTTAATATTGACTCAAAGGACTTTTGGATTTCTGACCAGCTGTCTGAAACCATGCAGGTAAATAAAAGACACAAGGTAAATATTGAGGTTTAAAGCCATGTTGATTCTCATTCATCCAGATCATGGTTTTCTTGAAGACTCCAAAATCAGGCAACTGGACTGTGTAGAGTTGAGAAGATGTTTCGCCTCTCATCCAAAAAGCTTCTTCAGCTTCTTGGATAAGAGGCGAAACGTCTTCTCAACTCTACACAGTCCAGTTGCCTGATTTTGGAGTCTTCAAGGTTGAGGTTTAGATGAAAGAAACAAATAAAAGCAAGTCATATTGAAGCCTTTGCCCATTACACTTTGATATACAAAGTTCTCATAGCTAGTAACAAGTTTCAGATGGATCGTTTCATAAATCAGTGAGAAAGAGAAATTCACTGGGTTATGTTATAGATCGCACAACATAGCTCAGATATATAACAAAATCCATTTTAACCCTGTTATTCTCCAAATCAAAATATAATTCATATTAGTGACTGTTTTAGATTTGATCTGCTGTCCTTAAGGATAGGAAAATGTCTGTTCATTGTAAAAAGGGTTTGTTTATATCAGCCTAATGAGGATCTACTGATATGACGCTGACTTTGTCAAACTGTCCAAATTGTTGGACTTCAGTGACTGATGAAACTCTTCTTCTCTGTGAAATATCTACATGCTCTGGTAGAAATCCAGTCCTCGGTCTAAGGAGACTGAGATAACCAGACCACTGAAATTACATTCTCATCTGGCACAGATGTTGCAGATACTACAGAGAAAGCACCTTACAAGCTCATATCCAGGCAGTTTAGAGCAGAGCCACTAACTGGAGCTATCCCCCTTAGCTGATTGCAGGTGGCTTCATTATAACTTGGACAAAACAGCACTGTGAACCCACTTCAATATAAATACTAAGAATTGTGGTGCTGACTAGCAAGCGGGAGTAACATTTAATTTTTCAGATGCACACTTCTTTACTGTCATATCTGTCAAAACGTGATTTTTTTTCTACACAATTTCTGAATGGAGTTATGTCCCTCCCCTGTTTTAGCATTATCCTTTAACACCCAATCCTGAAAAAGGAAAGAGTCATGTGACCCGGCATGTAATCATACCACAGCAATGAACTAATTCCTGTACTTGGAAGATTAATGTAAGAGCCCTGAGCTCTGACGTCCTGCAGAGCGGCCTTCAGAATGTGAGCAGATATAGGCAATCAATTATTGAAGCCAGATATGGGTTATCTATTATTGCTGTGCACAGAATAGAGTTGTACTTTCATCGCAGCAGACAGTCGGTGAGAATTTTCCTCATTAAGCAGGCCTCCTTTGAGTGGCTGACAGTGATTAGTGCTGAAGAGGACACATATACTTGATGAGGCTGAAGTGTAGTATTAGCCTTTATTACATGGCGCATGTGTTAGCAAGTGGAGCAGAGTGCACCAAGAGTTCCTGTGTTCTCTCCTCCTCACAATGGAGGCAGCCGAGTGGAAAATCTCTGGATTATGAAGAGCCTGACCCAGGGACATGCACACACACACACACACTGACACACTCACACTCGCACATGGCTACACACATGCTCCACTCACCCCCATTTATGTAAAACTCGGCTCTACGTATGCACCTGTGCTACACACACAACATAATGATCACAGGTATTGCAGGTATTGCAGTGTTACTATTAAGGGAAACTGCTGCTGCTGCCCCTGAGCTCCTCTCCTCCCTCCTGCTCGCCTCTCATCTTCTCATATATCAACTCCCCCTGAGCACTGGTGAGCCGGGGCCCTGAGGCTAGCTCTCCTCCAGCCAATGATGCTATTAGATGGTCCATTTTGTCATCACAGCCCAATGGAATTATAGCTGGGTCCCTGTTCGGATAAATATTGGATGTGAGCAAAGAATACACCCTTTTGTACCTTTCCCTGCCACACTTTCCTATTATCCCCATTAGTGCTTCTCTCTTGTGAGCCTTAAATGTGTCTTTGTATGACATGGTTCGGTTACATGGGATACAAGGCGTGGATCAATGATACGAGATGACAGGCGAGGGGCTTCGAGTGGGCCCTTGAGTTGTAATAACCCAGCAGGTAATGGGATGCAGCCATGCTCCTACACAGGCTCTCATAGTGGGATACATGGTTAAGATTAATGTACCTGTCATGGCTTGGTGCATTTGTACACTCCGTGGTCACATGAGAAACATATTGGATTTCGGTGCATACACAGTTTGAATTTATTTTCCTGCAGATAAGCAAAACTTGACGATTATTATTTTTTTTATATCCTACTAATGTGTGGGAGCATTTAATCAACCTCTAACATCTTGTTTTATTCTGACTAATCTACAAAGTTGCTGTTTTGGAAAGTCACAGCCCATCCTACGTCTCTTGGCTTATTTACTTTGATATTGCGAGGTTTATTTTTCGGATTTTTATTTAGCCTGAAAAAAGGCAGCTCCCTCATATGACCAATAGTAAGTCTTTGCTTGCTTTGGTATCTGTTTCCATCGCTTTGAGCAGGCACTTTTTCTTTTCAATAAGGAACTTCCAGTGTAGCTGGAACCTAATTCACCACTAAAAAATGAACTTAATAAGTTTAATTAACTGGTGTTTGAATTAAGGGACACCGCCAGGGATTTGATGTCCCTTGAAAAAGCTGCGTGCAGCCCCACCAACCCTGCAAACACAGTGCAGTGGAGGCAGTGGAATTTAGGAGGAAATACATGAGGTTCATCTCATGTCTCTTTTTACGTCTCATATGGCCTGAATCTGCCTCTACAAAAACACTGGATAACAAACTGCCAACCTGTTTTTGTTTTTCTTTGTCCTTCTTCTCATTTTGTTTGCTGCTGGAATCATGACTTAAAAAAAAAAAAAAGACAAAATACCTGCACCAGCACCATCACTGACAGTCATTTCATGTAAATATGTAGCAATACAGAGCAACCTGAATGAAACTTGTTTAAACAAATGAAAAAACAAGAAAAGGCACAAACAACAAAATGTTTCATTTCTTTTTAAAGGATGGGCCCTTTAAATATTTCCCTTTAATGAGTTAAGAATTTGAGAAATAACTTGGGACTTTCACAACCAGATTAGTTTCTCTAACGCCAAAACAGAGAAGCAAAGGGCTGCTAATATTGTCCCTAATCCTGACACATTAGCAACATGTGAATGTTACAATTAGACAAAAAAACATCAAAGTTAACACCTGTCTTTGGCAGTGATATAAATTCAGATGGTTTACCCTGCTAGTTATGTAAACAAAGTTTTGTATTACCAAAGTATAAAAATACATAGCACATCTTGTTCACAGAACAGGTCTCAGCTCTGTTAGACTGGGGATCTTGTCGGACCCTATTTTTACTAGACTTAATAAAATTGTCTCAGTTATTGAACTGAAAGTCAAACTCTTGTTTCTGTTTTAGTTTTTGTGACCTTCACTCGAATTTATAAACATAAAATGTATTTATGTGTTTTGTTAACGCCCAATGAAGAAGCTGTTTGGATATTTATTATTTTTCGTTTTGATATTATCATATTTATCACAGTATGAGCTGGTTTATAGGCGCTGGTCTGATATGCTGATAGTGATTTGGTAGCAGGCTGGCAGCAGCTTAATGTTGAAGATGTGCTGCGCTTATGGGTGAAACTGTTTGAAGACAGTCTGGTACCCTAATAAATGTATTTGTATGAACTTAGCCGGTTTTGGTTTCTAAAAGCTTTGCAAATCCAGTACTGTACAGGTCTACCTTATAGAGCCAGGGTTGCTTAACTATGATTGGGTATTATTAGAGGACGGGCCTCTACATAGCTTTTATTCATCCTTGTATGTGCTGCGTTTTCTTTAAAGGGCAGCCCTCCCCCACTCCCCTCAGCTTGACATGTGTACAGTGGTCAGGGATACACACAGAGGAAGCCTTGAGGTACATTACTTGATCATGATGATACTCTCTCAGCTATCATTATAATTCAGTGTAAACTTGATGCTTCTGCCTGCAGTGGGCCTACCAGCAGTGTGGGGGCTGTTCTGCTGTGCTCTGCTCTGCTTCGCTCGTCTCTCCCTTTGCTTTCACAAACTCTCATTCTCTTTCTCTATGATACAGAGATGCAGCTTATTCTGGCAGCAGCAATCAGATTAATAAGTAAACAAGCTCATAATTGTCTGCAATGAAAGATTCAAGTGATAGGGCTGGTTACCAAGAGGATCATCACTCTGGAATTGGAAGAATTAACCCACCATGATGATGATTTATCATTACAAGTAACATCTTACTCTGGCTGACTCCCTCTCGCTCTTACCTCATCCCACCTTTGCATACCAATGCAGTCTTGCTGTGCATAAAACATACATTATGTCCCTTCAGATGCGGTGTTCTTTAATGAAAAACTGCAGAAAATGAAAACCAATGCATGACTCAGTGTTGTTTAAATACATAAAACAAGTGAGCTGTGTAAAACACAGTGTCATCTGCATACAGTATATGTCACAGCATGCATAACATCTCCGTCTTAATCCTTTCATCCTGCAGTGTAAAAGTGTACGAGCATCCATGTATGCTTGTGCTCCTCTGTGATCTTGCTTTCTGTCTAAGCGCAGCATTGCAGAGCACAAGCTGCATACCAAGCCAATCATTAAGACATAAATGAGAACATCAGAATCTATCTGCAGTCTCGCACACAGTAGTCCCAAGAGAAAGAGGGAGGGAGGGAGAAGGAAGGAGAGGGAGAGGTAGGGGGAGGCTGACCAATTTATCTCCAGTCTGTTCTTCTTCCTCCACTTCTAATGTTTGCATCTCCCTATTTCTCTGCCTCCCTCCCTCCCACCCTCTCCCTGTCTTTCACTGACAGAAAGAAGACAAAAAAGCACAGGAGCAGCATGTGGCCTGCGTGAATATATCAGACTCAGACTCTCTGCTTGTAGTTTTTTAGTCTAATTGGGGGCAGCAAAGCAGCTACGTCTTCGGCTTGGCCCAGACGGTGTGACCCCATCAGATTTTACCGTTTCTGTCTAATTTTGTCCTGCATTTCGAACAGTGGCCGATCCTGGCCCACTTTCCTGTCCGTATGTGCGATAAAAGACAACATGAGAAGGAAAATGAAAGAAAGAGAAGCTGTGAGGAGGGAGCTCATATAAAAAAGGAGAGAAGAGACCTGTGTGCTTAAATACCGTTGCTTGTTATTGAGAAATAGCCTTTTAGTAAAAATGCACAGAACTGCGTCACTGACTTTGCAAAAATGTGGATGATGAGTGTCCACTACATGTGCAAAAGTGTAGCAAAAATACCATTAAGTGCTTACATCTCCCGCTGCAATATAAGTGCTGTGGAAAGCCTCTGATGGAGGAGTTTTGATGATCTGCCTCTTTAGCTATTGAGAAAAAAAACACCTATCTGAGAGATAGCATCAAATAATCACAAAACTACACTTTTAGGAGACCTTGAAACTCATAAAAAATACACAAATCAACATGATGGTGACTAGATGCAATGATCAGTTTTTTATGCGTCCATGCGGACTCCTGGCTTTGGTATTGGCTCTTAGTGATACCAGTTCAATCCAACCCAATACCAGTATTAAGTAAACAAGTTCTGCAACTCTGAACTTTCTTTGATTTGTTTACCAAAATGAAGTAAATGATTACAAAAACTGACTGTAATTAGTAAGGACGGTCACTTTTTATCTGAAATTCAAACCCTCATCATATATGAACTGTAATGAGCCGTTCAGACTCATAATAAAACAGTATAATGGTGCATCTGCCCTCCTGATCCATCGTAACCTCTTGACCTCAGTCGACTAACACAGTAACAGTATTCAACAATACACTAATTTTACTTTTCTACAAATACATTCATATGAGCAGACAATCATGAAGTGTGGAAGTATCTGGGAATTTACATTCTAGATGGAAAAAAAGAACAGGATTGGACTGAGAGTCAACTTTATACAAAGTAGCTACAACAAAAATTTTGTGAGCTCACCCGCTGACTTCCCAACCATATGAAACAGCAGCCGTATGGAAGGAGGCTACACCAACAAGAAGTGCAAAAGTTACCCCAATGACTACCTTTTTAAGTGGCATGCCTCTTGCTAACTTAGGAGTGACAGCAAGCTAACATTCGAGCTTGGCATATCATACAACAGTAGTTAACCCTGTTGTTTGCACAACTTCTAACAATTCAGAAAGAGAGCGGTCATAAAAATATCTTCCCGATAGAGACCTCTACTCGTGTTTTGTGTTAGGTGCTCTTCTATAATTTTTTTTTTAACACTTTTAAACCAGCGTAACATAAATATTAAAACATGTTTAATAAAGATATTGCTAAGTAGTTGAGGCTTTTTGTATCCTAGCTAGTATTTTAGCAGTTACAGGACTGATACCAGTATTTAGTACTGGACCAGCATATTTCCAGTAACAACTAACTTAGTGACAGAAAATGCTCTTGATTTAAAGTTTATAGTTTGTCCCATCTGTTAACACGGAGGCAGGTTTTATGACTGCAGTTATTTAGGACAGGGAGCTCTGAATGATTTCACCTCACTTTGGGGGGAACTGTCATGTTATCCATATTTTATTCAGTCTATGGATTTGTACAGTGTCCCAGAGAAACCGGTACAGATAGGGATGGGGGAGGAGGTGAGAGTGACAGTAGAAGGTATGCTGAGGAATTGAGGGGGTGGTGGCTGAAGTTAATGACTCTGAGAGATTGAAAACAGGCACCACTGGCCTCCTGAGTTCAATTAAGACCCTGGGAAAGATTCCCAAAGGGACCATGGCATCTTTCTCTGGCTGCAGAAAGCTAATATTGATCTATGCATTTCTTTGTAAGCCCCACATTGTTTGATGATCTAAACTGCAGCAGCTGCAGAACAGAGAGCTAGAGTTCACTACAGTGTGTTGTTTATGTATTGTTTGTACATGCATGAATGTCTGCATACTCTGGGTCATTTTGTGCACATTCATGCATCAACACACGAGAAGGTACCATGGAGTGTTGCCAGTCCAGTTATGCCATTTTCTTGGGATAAAATATCAGGAGTTAATCTTCTTACAGTAGATGCACCGCTGACGTAGCATTTTATTCTACCTGAGCTGTTCCAAAAATAAACCAAAATAAACACTGTCAGGATTTATGAGTTTGTCGCTCCTAGACTGGCCCTGTCTCATCTGACTACAGACTTTAGTGTATTCTCAGTTGGAGCAGCATCTTTTTAGACACAAGCTGTGTTGTGGCTCTGCGCTTTACCTTTGATCAGGAACTCTTTTAGCTCAACTGTCAAACACAGCCTGTCATACTCTCTGCATAGACAGCAATGCCATCTGACTAAACCTACAGAGCAGCTAATAGTGTATTTTATTATGTGACAGGTGGGATATATGCATTAACCTTTCAAAATATAGGCTAAATTGTTAGGAGTCCTAAGGTCATGCTCCTGCTGTGTTCATGTTTGGTTTTATTTTATAGATTACAACAAAAAGCCTCCATCAATATAGAAGAATATAAAGAAACTCACATTTTTTATTAACAATGTGTCAGCCATCTGAACAGTCCTGATTTTATCCTGATGTATAATTTGCATCCTTTAAAATGCCAAAAGTGTCCCATATTGTCATGCGCAGCCAATCTTCAGAGCCACTGTAGATACTGTTCACCATAGCAACCTAGTGTTTAACCTGATGTGAAGGCCAGAATCGATTGTTATCAAATGATATGGTGCATTCATGGCTAATTTGATTTTTACCAACGCTGCAGCATGTAATTGGAGTCTTCCTTTAAGGTCGAATTATTTAACTCATCTCAGCAGCACTGCTGTTGAATTTGATTACATTTTTGTCAATGAACTACACTCAAAGGATTTGTAAAATGACTGTAGAGTCACAAACCTATATAACAAGCAAGGTTTCTGTAGATCAGCGCACTACGACGCTCCAAATGAAGCAAACACATTATACTGATGGATAATAAGATGTCAACCGGAGTGACACAGTTCAATCAATAATGGATCAGCTGAGCTGCTGTTGAGGACAGCGTGAAATTAAGTGATTTGTCTAAGGAATCAATGACTAATCAAGTGGCATTAAACAAGTCATTTCAGTCTCTTGTGGATAAATTCAAGTCAAACTGTTTCAAAATTAACTTTACAGTGATTTTTTTAAGTGGTTGAATTTGATTCAACTAAAATCATGTCATTTAGTTAATTGGTTTAGACACTTTAAGTTTTAATTTAACAAAATTTTATTTGATTCAGAGCTCGAAAGAAAAAATGTTTCAGTCAATTCATCATTTAATGTGTGAGGATTTTCATAGAGCCAATGTTTAATTTATCATTTTTGTGACCTCCAACCGAGTAAGGGGAAAAGCGGTTTAGCAGTGTTCCCTTCAACTACATTATGGTTTAATGATTCTATTCAGACATATTTAACAGAACAAAATTGGGTTTATAAAATAGGGATGAGCATTTTAAGCCAAATTACTATCTTGAAGCCACTGGGGTCTACTCAGAGATTACTCGTTTTTGAACCCCACTCTTACTGCCCAAGTGCAAACACTCGCAAAGTAAGGCTGAGCAATAGTGAATGAAATGCATTTGTGTGCTTTTTTTATACCAGGTATATACAGTGTGTATTTATTAGCATCAAAAGAAAATTCCATCTTTCTACTCTTTAGGTCTTTAGATCTGTTTGTGTTAGGTCTAGCTCCTTAACGGTGGCTGTGATAGCAGAAACAATTTAGCCATGTGCAATCCATCCAGCCATCCAATCAATGGCTCAGTCATGTGGAAGCAGCAGTAACCTGCACAGGGGACAGGTGCTACTAGTAACCAGACTACACCTGTGTAATTGAGCTGATACTGTTGACATTTAACAGTCATGAAGACTCTGCATGGCAGTGCTACACTTACGCTATGTTTCTACTGTATTTCATCAGGATTGATTGTGTGCAGCAAACAGCTTATAGATGTGCTTCAGCCACCATCTGGCAGGAGTACAGCATTACAACCATGCAGAATTATTTTCAAGATAAGATAGTCATGTGACCTTCTTGATATTTATCACCTGAATGAATTTTCCAAAACTGAAAATCAGCATAAAACTTGATTCATCATGTCAGATTTTACCAAAGTCAGAAGAAAGTCTGACACATAATGAAGTAAATTTACACCACCGTCACCGTTAGCAACCCTCTGCCTACCTCATAAAAACATTAACTTTCTATATTCCTGAAATTCCTGAAGAAACATGTAGCTTTGCATTGCCTAGCTGTTTTCTGTGGAGACTCAGAGTTTAAATTCAGAGTCAAATCTTTTGTGAGACAGCTGGCTCTCTACAGTGTGTGTGTGTGTGTTTGTGTGTGTATACGTGTGTGTGGTGTGATGTGCTCTAGCTGTCAGTCTTGTGTTCACAGCTGACTCTTACTGGACCAGCTCAGACACGTCCTCCATTATCAATTCTGCTCCTCAGCTCTGGTAGCTGTTCATCTGATAATTAAACAGCTGATAGTGCTGTTTTGTACCCAGAGATGATACATGTACGCTGCATGTTAATTACACGTGTGCACATGCATGTGTTCTGTAAGGTTGTATGTTCGCTCACATTATTGTTTGTTTTTGTCTCCAGGCGTCATGGCGACAGCGGCTCATTTTGTGTTGAACTACATCTACTTATCTAATAATACAGCACAGATCATCCCATTTTCACACAGTTTGTCATGACAGTATGTGTAATACCTTATGTTCCAGTTCATAATCATATCCTTATTATATTTGAACTTTGAAGGTACTGGATAAGTGCATGTATATAACATGATTCACACAGTAATTACATGTAATCTCAAGCAT